AAGTATGCAAAGTATTTTGGTCGAGCAAGTTTTCGATTCTGCATCTTTGCAACCTTTAAACTTCGACGTTGTTTTTCAACGAAGTTTGGAATTTAAGCCAATTCCATGTCTCTGGAAAGATATCTTAAGTATTTTAATCCATCTCTGACTAATTGCATACAGTGGTTAAATAAATAATAAGGTACGAAGAGGAAAAGGGTATTAGTCATTAGGTATCCTTTTTAATATGCAGAGCTGGCTGCGTTCATAGGAAGCTTTGTTTACTGTCCGAGTAGGGAGATATCTCACTTCGTCCGCGCCGTCGGACGACACGGCACCCGTCTTGTGTGCGAGCTCGAGAGTTTTATGGAAGAGTAAACAATTTAAAACACTACACGCCGGGCGTATTGGTCCAGCACTCTCCTCCATTAGCCTTAGCCGACACCTCGAGTTGCCGGTCCTTTGACGAAAATGATGTTTGCTCACAAGCGCAGTGACGAAGGTGCGGCCGCGACACTCGTTCACCACTTGGTACAGTTTGCTTTGGCTGCTTTAAAGAGGATGGTAATCGGCTTGTCGATCTTGTTTAGTTAAATGTACCTATGTGTGAGTAAGTAAGTAGGTACATGATTTTTTGATTTATTTTAATAACTTAATTCTCTCGGTATAGTAGGTACCATGTTTTTAAACAAAAATAAGATTATCTTCAAACACTGCCAGTCAGATGACTTATAACTAAAATTATGACACCTTCCATAAATTACCTATTTACACCACTTCTCATCATAGTTTATAATTATCCACAAACCACGAATTCTACACATCTATAGGTAGATGTGTTGAAACGCTGAAACAGTATTACCATTTCAGCTTCTGAACGACTATAGCTATCTACTTACACAAAAAAAGATGTAGGTACCCACGTACCTGTCAATAAAGGACAAATCTCAAAAACATCCTTCTGTTGACTCACCCATCTCATCACCCCAACGTGTTTGTTCCTCACAGCAATTGAATATTTAAAGTTTTTCAAGCGACTTTAAATAGGTTTAAAAACAGATATTTTAACTGAAATTGTTTGAAGTTGTAAGTTTACTTATAAAAATTCTTGTGGAATGAAAATCCGCTCAGAATTATGAATGAATGGTTAAAGTTACGACCGTTACAATAACATCCCTTGATTATTGGGTTAGTTTATTGTGTGCGAAGTGTGGTATTGTGTCGAGAAGTCTGCTCTATCAAGACTGGCGCCAGAATTAGTGTTACACAATTATTACACAATTTGTTCCTCTTTGTTGCGGTCACTTCCTGTCGTTTGTTACTGATAAGGTTTTTATTTATATTTCACCACGTCTATCAGTAATTGATCTTTGAATAGACCGTCAATAATTAAATATGACATGCGAACTAGTTTGTTCGTAGGAATAAACTACCTACCTTTTTTAGTACTTCCTCACAAAAACTATTGACAATTTATTTTGCTTTTGTAAAATGTCAACAGATGATAGTGGATAAAAAAACGCTTATTTGGTCAACAATTTTCCTAATAGCTTTAAATATCTACTACTTGGTCACAAAATCGAAATTCTCTTGAGGAATCACTTTGAGGTAGCTTAACTTGTTTTTAGGTAGGTACTACATATTAAAACTGGAACACTACTTACATATTCTTTAACAGATAAAGGTGATAAAGCATAGGGACCTATATATACTAAGTTACTACCATAGGTATATAATGCGTAAAACGCAATTGGGACAATAGTGTTAACAAAGGTGCAGAAATAAAATAATTTACTATCTAAATGGGGACTTTCATACTTTAACAACCCGGTAGATGGTTGTTACATAATTATTTTGTTCAGTAAAAGTGACGTCATATTCGGCGGTCTTCTGAGGTAGACGTGAAAGGAAGTTACTTTTACTTATCGTCACCTATCTTATCAGCGAGTAACGCAAATCTTTGTGCTAGAGGTGCGAGCACGTTGCGTGCGCACCCTTTTTGTTTAAAGTTTCTCATGGATCCTTTCTGAAAAGTTTTGATAAGAAAGTGTGAAGGTCTGTCCTTTCCTTCGCTTCTTTTGAACTACTTCAACAAGCTAATAACATTATTCCTTTTCTAGTCGTGAGTTTAGTATTACAATAAAACATTAAGATTAAGACTCACTAAAATAAATAAGTAAATGCCTCACTTTATCAAGGAATGTTTTAGACTTAGTTATCAAGGATTAGTTATCAAGCTTAATGCTCAGTAAAAATATTTTCCTTGTTATGTAAGCGATAAAGAAAAACAAGTGGGTTGTCAACGAAATGTAACTTGGTCCTAACTGACTCAGTCTGAGTTACGGGCTGATTATGCAGATTATGCATTTTATTGCGCGAATACAAAGCTATTGCGTACAAATTGTCCTAAATAGAAGCCCTGCTTCATTTACATAAATATACAAAAACTCTGTATTCGGGATTTCCTCATCTTAGTGATGTAGGCGTAGGGAGTTTATTCTTTCTGGAATAATAGAATTATTACCTCTGGCAAATACCTATTTTATTTATAATTTATACGGTTTACTTCTATCTAGATGACCTAGACTAGACTAGACCTAATAAATTAATTAACCGTAATATGCGTTTAAATTGGTATAAGCACTGTCTAACAAGACTCAATTTAACAATGATAATATGACTACGAAGTCAAACACAAACTGTAATTTACAGGTGAATGACATTTATAATTCGACTTGTTATCAGAACTTGAGGCTCCTGGCGAGCCTCTTAACAACTATCATAGATATTTACGAGATGTTCTCTTTGATGGGACTGTCGAAACCGTCTATTTCCTAACTCGGTGTGTCCTACACATTCACATAATCATAGAATGAAATACCTAACAATAAATGTCTTATACCTTGTAGTATTTAGGATCACCAATAATTAATTTTAAAGACACTTGTTAAATAATGCATGTGAATATATTTTTTAACAGGTTTACCATTTCGATTCACAAGTTTTTCCAAAGCAAAGACTGCGTTACGAGGTTAAGAAGAATCAAACCTCGAAATATAAGATCATAGCTTCAATTTAAATACGGTCATATGGAATAGACGCCAGTAAATACTTTTTAAATTTCAACCTTTTCTTACAGCAATAAAGTTAAAAATCTGTCTTAGAAAGTCAGATTCGTGTAGTGCCTCCTAACATTAGTCATAATAAACACCTTTCAGCTCTGACTCAGCTCTCGATTTGCAGTGTACGCGTGACAAACAATTAATCTTTGATCAATGGGGTTGGGCTAATATGAGACTGCGATACTGATATCCCATTGAGTTTACGACGCCATAATAAAGAGATGTACGTAATCCTTTGTTAGTATCGTCTTGCTTATCATGTTTCTGTTCCTACACTACTTAGTAATTGTAAGAACTTAGTTGGTGTGATATGTTAGGTTTGGGTGGCGATTCTTTTTTAAGTTTTGAACTGTATATGTAGGTAATAAAAATATAGGACATACCCCTTCTTCGTTCGCCTGTGTATGGATACAATTCGCATCCATAAAATCTATTACTATGCTTTTCGTCTTCGGGATTTTTAGTAATAGAATTACGATCGGTGTTTGGCATTACGCTTGCTCAATGCACAATCGTGGTTTAGGGAGTTTATTCACTCCTATGGGGCAAAAATACTAATTAGGAGGACGTCACGGTTTTGAATAGTACCTAAACTAAAAATTAAATATTGTATTTAAGTATCATGATGACGATTTATGCTGATAGGCAAGGTAATAGTGTCATGAGTTAATTTTAGGTGATTTCATTGAGAGAGTATTTACAATAGGTACGTATTTCATATTTTCCTTAAACTAGGATCTAAATACCTACGTATATGAATAAATTGTGTCATGGTGAATGCCTATGGTGAACACCTACCGTCATGTGATTCTCGCATGTGACATAGTTCCCTAACCACAAATTGAGTGTAACATGGCGTTTATCTATTATAGAAATGTACCTCTTAAGAGGTTACTCATGTATATTGATTTCATCACTAAGTAAGCATTACAGAATGGGAAAACCTTCATGCTAAATTACCTGAAATAATAATTTTATCAAGCAAATACAACATAAAGAGATATATATCTTTTTTCACAGGATGGGCAGAGGTGCACATAATTATACAATGTAACACCTACATATTTTTCACCCAATGTTAGCAAGTGTGTAGATTCGCGCGGGGAATAAAAGGCGTAATGTTATGCCAATATGCTCATGATTCATGGTTTTTGCACGTTTCTAGCAAAATCTTCACGTTTCATGACTTTTGTTTCAGTATGAAGACAAAGGGCTATTAGTTTTTTAATACCACAGTGTACTATGTGAGACCACAATTCCAGATTTGAGTTCGTTCTAATTTGGTTGTACGTAGTGCGAAATCGATTTTAGAGATTAAATTAAAAATTACGTTTATTGCTTAGATTAGCGTGTATAGGTAGCTAGTACTTTTTACTAGTACATACATACATAATTATTACACCTATTTGTTTGTATTTTGTTTGTATTTTGTTTGTGGTAATAGGTACCATTATTGTCGTTTAGTTCTTTTTTAATTTTTAACTCAAAAGTAATAAAAGTATGCAATTCTTGTTACAAAATAAAGCGAAAATAGATAATTGTTGTAATTACCACAAAAAGTTTTATTATTTGCAACGTTTGTGAAAATTATGCGTAAGAAACAAAATGGTATTCCATATTTGGTCACTTTCCTCTACTTAATTTGTCACATCCAAGCTGTGAATGCTATGCTTATAAATGCGGGCTCGTTTGAATGTGCATATCATTCGTCGCAAATCTCGAGGCAAACATAAACCAACTTCTTGTTTAGCTATTACAAACATTATATATTTTTTTTATAAATACCTGCGTTTATTTAGATAATATTTAGCATATCTTTTAAATTTTTTAAGAATACGTATGTTTGGCAGGTAGTTGATAAAAATATTGACATTTATGCATGCGTGTAAAGTATTGAATGACAGTGGACATAATTACTATGAGTGTAATGTGACAATCAGTTTTCCTGAAGTAATAGCGAGCTGTAAATGCGTAGCGGTGCGAGTAGCGGAGGCGTGCGAGCGCGCTCGGTGGTGGTGGCGGCATGGGCGGTGAGCAAGGGATGCAGCCCGGCTCGGTGGTGCACGGGCGATCGGATCGGGCTGCGGCTGCCGGCTCTCAGTGTCGCTCAGATCGCGGCGCGCGTTGGTCGTGCGTCGAGCGCGTGTGGAGTGATGTCTGCGAGATGAGGCTGTCGCTGGTGCTACTGTGGCTGGGCGCGGCGGCGGCATGCGGCCCGAGCCGCGGCTACACCCGCCGTCAGGGCACGCGCCGCATCACACCCCTGGTCTTCGGGCAGCACGACCCTAACATTAGTGAGAACAAGAATACCGCCAGTGGACCTCCTGAGGGTCGCATCACCAGAGACGACGAGAGGTTTAAAGACTTAGTGCCGAATTATAATCCGGACATCGACTTTAGGGATGATGAGGGGACTGGTGCTGATCGCCTCATGACACAGGTGAGAGTTCAAAATTTCCCAAGAATTTTCCTCTTTTCTGAATTAACCCTAAAGTGCCGCACCGACGGGCAAGTGCAGCGAATTAGGAACTCCAGTGTGAAACGTTTAATGGGCAATGCAATAGAATGCAGGACAGTTACAGTCGTTGGATGTTGTCTTCTGTCATCTACAAACAATGGATTTTATGAAGTGTCCGCTGTTTTGAAAACAGCTCCTTAGTGCGCGGGCAGGGACAATCGTTGATGTAAACATTACGCGCGTGGAACAATGGGAACAAATTGCGGGCGTTACGGTAGCTTCGTAGCGAGTGTTCCGATTGTAACACTGCAATTACGCAGGCTTTGTCAACAAATATTTTGGTTCTGTGACTAATGGATGAATGATGAATTCTTTACAATATTGATGCCAGTTTTGGAAATATATGGCCATCATAAAATTTGGTGTAGAAGGCATTCAGTATCGTGCGTTGTCATTCAAGTCGTTTTCTATAAGTATAAAGACAACTTACGGGAAACTTATTGTTGAGGGTTGCTACATTGTGCTGTGTTTAGATTCACTTCAACATTACGTATTAGAACAAAGGGGATATATTTTTTATTTGACAAGCATTTATAATTAATTAAGTTTGATTCAAAAACTCCCCGAAATTTCTTGCACGCTTGAAGATAATTTTGTTACAATTACTTATTTAGTTTCCGGCGAATAGTTAATGCGCATTTTTTCTAGGTATGTGTTTATTGTACAGATTCCACTTTTATACCGCGCAAAAATATTTATAGTATAAAACTATTCACCTACGTTAAGAGTTTAAGCTGTTTACAATTAATTGTTTATAGAACGCGCAACGCCTTGCAATCGTGTCGATAGAATTATTTGATAATAGTATTTTTAATGACGCATTATTATCAATTTGGTATCTGACGATAAACTGTAACCAGAGCCTTGTACCTCTAAATAATTTAGTGTGTATGTGTGTGACTCACAAAATACCTACTTCTAAGTCAAATCAATAATCAGTAAACGATTCATACTTTTAATATAATTAAATTTAACAGTGCTAAAGAAAATGTACCGGAAAATGCATCACACATCTCAAAAGCATAGAAGATTTTCTTTAAATTACAATTTTGATATGTTTCCAAGGATGTAAAAAATGTTTCTATTTCTGATTTTAATTTAGTCGTTTCGTAGTTTGTAATGTGTTAGTGACCCGTGAGGCGTGTCTATGCCGCTTGAGCCCACGTGTAGCTATAAAAATCGGCTTAAAACATTGAAGTAGTGTATAGCTTGAATGCTTGAGTGTTTTGTCGCCTACGATCAACACAGTGACCTATTTACTCCAGAAAACGCAAACACAAGATAGCGAGGGCTATTTTCTTGACTTTTGCCGTCTTATAAGCCCGCTCATAATTATTCAAACTTAATATTCAAATAATTCTTACTTAGTTACTGTTAAAGACTAGTTCTGTGAAAGAATCGTTTTTCAAAAATATGCCAAAGTAAATAAATAATCAACACCTGTAAAAAACAGACATTTCATTTCATTGACGGGACAGTAATGAAATTGCAGACATAATTATGCCAAGATGTAATAAGATATTGGCACAATTATGTAGAAGAAGCACGGGCATGTCGGAATGTATGTTTGTGAAGTTTCAATAGTTTTTCAATTGAAGTCCGTACTGGTACTAACTAGCGATAAACGTGGAAATGTATAAATACTTAATCTTGAAACCACACTTGGCATTCTCGACATACAAGTTGACAAATTGCACTATGCAATGGCGTGTTGCCAATTACTTTTGTAACTTAAAAACTTTTTGGCGTATTAAGTGGCTAATTAGTAACGTTTGTAGGTAACCTTTTTTTATTTAATTGGTCTTTTCGCCATTCATCCTCACAATCATAATATGGTTTGTTCGTAAAATAGCTAATTTGCAAACCGATTCCTTGAGTAAAATTAGCTAAATTTGACAAAAGTTTTTCATCGTTGATATTATTATAATAGGTATATGTATGTAGGTACCGTAAGCAATATTTACGGAGTCGTTATATAATAATTGACAATCGCGGTTAGCAAATAAGTACATAGTATCATCAAAGAAACCGCGTGGATTCCTGATGGAAATTTCTATACTGCATGTACTTACCATCCTAATAGCTATGGATGCATTTGCGTGGGCCTAAAACACTAGATATATGTGTAAGTAAAAGTAGGTACTGATGTGTAGGTCTCGAAGCAATCTCGTGGAGCACTAAATCGGAGGATCCCGTGTGTCGCCGTTACCTTTGCAGTAAAGTGTTCAAGTTGGCTCACATAGATGCGTTGGAATTTCCCACGATAAGCGTTGAAATGGAATAATATTACAGTCGAAAAAATTGAATGAAATAGATATTCGGTATCTAGAATCTTAATGCTAGGAACCTCATTAAGGCTCAGCTTAGTATAAACAGGTTTAGTTCGAACGAAGCCGCAGAGGATAGGCAAAACTAGTGAAGATATTCGTAGAGTAACAGACAGAATGAAACATTTCTGAAAATTGTGTAGTTCAGTTTTCCTTGTACACAAAACATACTAAATTAGTAATAAAATAAATCTGTCATTGTAGATGTAAATGTTAACTTTATGATTCATTCGGATTTACCGAGCGGAAAATGTGGAAATCGTTTCCTGTTAATAGAAAATACCACCTTTTGATTGAGCTACCATTTACTTAGTTAATGTTCGTTAAACTATGTACAAATTATCTAGTAATTTCGGTACGTAGGTAATACATTAAACATGAATTTATTTCAAGCTAAAATAGGCATATATATCTTTAAACTATTTATAAACTGTTATTCGTTAAGTATTTACAAGACTAGTCACATAATACCTGTTTACAAATTAGTTGCAAAATCATGTAAGTGAATCAGTAAGTTAGATATAATAAATTATATTTACATCTATTGTTTGCGTACCTTTATAGGTATGAACGCAAGTTTATTTTGTATTTAGAAGGAAAATCGGTCAGTAGCTGGAAAACTAATATTTCAGCCTTCAGTGAAGTCGATGGACAAGTATGTGTTTGGCCTCGCTCTAATGGCTTGTCAAACATGTGCGCATGTTGACAAACAAATTCACCAACAAACCTAAACAGTATACAGTTACATGTACTTACTATGTTGGATGTGGGTCATATGACATTCTGTCTATACTATAACTAAAAGGTCATTCCATAATTGATGCTTTCATACTTCATCTTCAAAGATGTTCTTACCTTAGAGCCGATGAAAGATAACGTACGAATCATTCAGTAAGATCAAGTAGACGCAGAAATGTAGCCGGTTGCGGTAAAATATTACATTTGCATTTTATATGTTTGCACAAATTGTGTTGCTACTAGCTCGACTTGTCCCTCGTTATTTATCTCTGAAAGTGGACGGCTATTGTGTCGTTCCTGTTGATATACGTGGTTTACTATAAACTTACAAACTTTACAAATGTCTCGATTGTGTAATTAGAAGTGAACAAACCATTCATTTATTGTTGAGTTATTAAGAACCTGAAATATCTTGTTAAGAAACAAGAATTTTAAATAATTCTATTATTGCGTGAATTATTGTACATGTTACGAGTAAAAAATATTTGTGAAACTAATTTTATAAATAGACACATCAAATAGGTATTTATGAAAATGAGTTCTATCATAATTTGAGAATAAATCTGCCTGGTCTCACAAGTCCAATATTTAGTGCAGAAATGTATTTCCAAATGAGAACACCCACTTTGTATTGTTAAACAAAAGTGGGCAATTAATCCTACGGCTTCACTAAGACTTGCTTATGGGATGTGCTATTTCTGAGCTCAACAGTTTGATGCAATGTCAATCGGCTGTAATTAGGACGTAGTCGACTTGATTTAGCGTTTGGACAACGTGTTTACCATCAATGCCCAAACACAAGCTCTATACGCTTAACGTCATCACACATAACTCAAAGTAAGTCAACCCAAATCCTGAAATAGTGTTGAAGTGTTCAAGGATACTATTGTTTGAGCGAGTATTTGTAAATAATGACTCAAGAGTCCGAGCTGATTGCACAGCAAATATTTTAATGGGCGTAGGTATCTTTAGGCGGAATCCAGTTATATGCAGATAATAATCGGTTGAAGGAATGTACGGACGATCAGACGCAAGTGTGTGCGTGGAAGAAAGGCCGGCGCGAATCCGGCGTCGGTCATGTTATGTGCTCGCCGCGGGCAGCACATAGTCGGAGCCGAGCTGAGCAGCCTTGCATTCGTAAAAATCTCCAAACCGGTTCGATGCGCCTCCATTACTTTCTTTCTGCCTCCACCGAGCCTCCCATTTAACTCGGGCCCACTTTTTATCAGGAATCGGTATCTCCGTCTAATAGTATTATTTATTTCTCATAAATAAGAGGGAATATAAGTAAAGTTAATGCGCACGGGAAGCGGTACATTACATGCCAGATGCTTCACAGATAAATGCGTTATGCTCTTTCCGTCGGTTGTTGTGTTGCGTAACGTGCGCGGTGACAGCTCGGGATTTATGCTACAGCTTCCACAGGCCTGTAATCTTTATTTACAAACAATTGCCCGGATTTACATCATCACCGCAGTGAAATATTAAATCGCATACAAGTGTATTTTATAAATTTTGCGCAAGTATATCTTACCTAATTCACTTTAAGTGTACATAGGTGTTACCTATATCTACCTCTATACCGACGTAATACATATCTTGCGATGTGTTGACTGGATGAATGACTGCAAGTACGCAGTCGTTAACTGACTATTCCATAATTTATTTTACACTCGGGTCTATAATGTCATTCGAGCACGTCAAAAGCAATATGAGCCGGTATTCCTTAGTAAAATGGTTTAGCAATTGGCTGGCTGGTTGGCTAGCCAGCAAACCGCAGAATAGGCGCAGAACCACACTGCCTGTTCTTCTCCGATTCCAATCGGAATTACTTACCATTTTATGTAAGTTTTTATT